CGCGAATTATACGTTCCGAGCATGCAAACGTCGCTTTGCCATCTTCGTTAAAAACAAGCCGTGCGCTCTGTGCTATAATATTTGCGAGCTTCATTCGCTGATCGAACCATTCCCTAGATCAGTCAAATCGAACAAATTTTTATTCGATGAAAAAAAAAAAAAAAAAAAAAAAAGAAACTCCGAGCAACGAGGAGTAATCGAAACTCTGCTGCGCAAATACTCGCGCGCCGATGGATTCCGTTTTATCAATTTCGCCGATTTAACGACTTGATTAAACTTCAAAAGATCCCGTTTGTCCGGTGGAAAAGCGCCGCCGCCGCGGCAACGTTTTAGCTGAAAACGTTAAAAACTAACGACGACGATTAAAGCGTGAAATTTCCGTCAGAGGCGTTGAAGTAAGAAAAACAGAGAGAGGGGAAACTTTGCAAGCGAGAGAGATCATTTACGAGTAATCGCCATGCGTTTAAAAGTTAAAATGATGAAATTATTAAATTTCAAATTCTAACAATCCTCCGTTGCTAAATGTTAACATACACACTGGTAGCATTCACGTTTACGGATTACAAGTTGGCAAATGTTTCATCGAACAGATTACTCTTTGTTAAAGTGATTAATGCCACGAAACACGTACAATCGAATAACAGTACAATATCTGTTTCAATAGTTTGCTACGTACATAACATATCCTATTCGTAATAAGTTACCAGCGTTCCGAATCATTAATCCACGGCCGAAATCACTCTGTATCGAAATGATTCTGACGATTCTGGCTTGCGCGCGCGACACGAATTTTTCACATCCTCTCCAATTTTTTCCCTCGAAATCGAAGACTTTTGATGGCGGGCAAGTATTTGTCGAGATATTTCATATTTCGAGTTCCGAAATATCAGCCAAATTACCTCGCGCGGATGAATTTCGAATATTTCGGTAAATTGTTTCGTAATTGGCGCGCGTGTAATTAGTTCCTGTTTCGCGTTTCGAAATAAATGCGAAAGCGAAGCTAGCTTCGCAGCAAAACATTAGAAAACACGTTAATTGTTCTGATCAAGTTAGAAAGGAAGCAATTAAATATACATTGTGGAACAATGAATTTAATTACCTTTGACGCGTGTATATGTGTAGTTAAGAGAAGACAGATCCCCGTGAAATAGTTCCCCCCAAGTTACATGTTCCTGTTTT